GTTAGCTACTAATTAGAGATGTCTTTGCCCTTTAGCCACTGTTTAAAATATATTTACTCTTTAGTCAGTGCTTAAATCCGCCCGGACGAAAATACCCCTGTGCTAGACATGGGTGTTGTGTAAATATTAAGGACATGATGTCCGTAACTTCATGAATGCTGTGTAAATATTAAGGACAAAGTGTCCTGTCATATCCTTAACTCATATGTGCAGTGTAAATGTTAAGGACATGACGTCCTTAACTTCATGTGTGCAGTATAAATGTTAAGGACATAATGTCCTTAACTTGTACTTGCACCTTTTGTTGTTAAACTTTAGGACCTCATGTCCTTAACTTTATATATGCAGCGAAAATGTTAAGGACATAGTGTCCTTAATTTTAGGAGTGTTGTGTAAATATTAAGGACATGGTGTCCTTAACTTCATGAATGCTGTGTAAATATTAAAGACAAAGTGTCCTATCTAGTCCTAACTTCATATGTGCAGTGTAAATGATAAGCACATGACGTCCTTGACTTCATGTGTGCAGTGTATGTTAAGGACACCATGTCCTTAATATTTACACAACACTCATGAAGAAAGGGTAAAAACGTCTTTTTGTATTAATTTTAATAGAGTAGTGGTTATTTTTGCGCAACATTAAAAATACTGAATAAAAACTAAATATTATGTTAAAAAGTGGGAGCCACGCTATTTGTGGGGGGTGGGGGGTGGGTGGGGGGTGGGGGGGGGGGCGTTACCAATTCAATGTGGTCAAAAGTAAAGCTAATATACTCCATTATTCAATTTGCATGGTAGGGAGAACAATGATAAGTGGAATAGAATATGTAGTATTAGTGAAAAGGCAGTCACTATCAGAAAGCTCTAACTACTTATCTATCATCAGGAAGAGTCTATTATTCCCTTTTGCTTAGCTGCTCCTCGTGGAAGTTGTTGCTCCATTCACTCTGATCTACATTTACATGAATACTCCTTTTATTTTGTGACGTGACATAATGTTAGATATCATTCATTTTCTATGCAAATTCACAATTTTCAATTATTCAAATTCAATTAACTGCTCAACTATATACTTTACGTAATATTTTCCTATCGCAAGAATCAACATCAGTGAGAGATAATAATTACATAAGGAATGTTTAAAAAAAGAAAATAAAGGAAAAAAATTTCATTTGCATAATAAAAAATGGATAATGCAAATGAAATATAGTGCAACTGGGCCAAAAGCCCATTTTTATAGTAGACACAAAAAATAGTGGTTTAATTAGGAAGCCCATCGGGTTTTTATTGGACTTGGTAGCGCCGGCCCGTAATCCTTCCACATCACAGAGCGGGTGCTGTTCGTGAGCCCCTCTCTAAGAGCCAAGAGGCCCATACTTTCGTTTGGGCCACGTGACTCAATTTCATGCTTGGATAGGGCAGGCCAGATATTAGCTTCTCAAAGCCCAGCCTTCAGAATCAGCCCAACATTCCACCACATTGTTGCCCCCACTTGGGTCACAAGCCCACGTTACAAGGCTCGGCGATAGAGTGCTTTCTCATGTCCTTATATAAACATTAATATGTTATCATATGAAAACGATGTGGGAGATGATGGTGTAGCTTTAAACGTAAAAAATCATATGAAATACAAGCAGACCATGCATTTTAAAGCAATTCAAAGTGAATAATGAGCAATTCGTGCTTCTTAATACCTTAACTTCGACAACTTGATGAAAGGTAAAATGAATTTATTAATCTCTAAAATCTTTTACATAAGGTCTAAGAAGTTCTACTACTATATACTCTTACTATTGCTTATCCGATTCTAATGTTGGAATTTTTCTGTCGTATGTTATATCATTGGAAGTAGTTTCTTTATTTTAGAAAATAGGAATTGTCCCTTTGGGGGTAAATCAATTCTGAACATTCTGAAAATCTCCATTAAATTTCCAGTAGGAAATATGTAATCTATATCTTCTTGCTTTACCTGTTTTCTAATTTAATAGTATTTGTTCTTGAACTTAAACTTCAAGAATACATCTTCTAGGCACGTTCCTGAATACCCAAGATTGGCTAAACCAAAGACGCAGTATGAGGTAAAACTTTCTTTTAAAACATTTATACAGAACTTGAGCATCAGTTTTCTTCCCTATTTTGTTTATAAATTTGAAAAAAAGGACAGTTAAAAACACTATTATTGGCATTTGTCTTATAAACTAATGCTACTAAACCAATTTATTATATGATCTGAACTTGTCATTTGTCTTCTAACAATCTGTTCCTGCATAATTACTTATGAAGCACTAAGAAATTGTGGCTTATTTGTTTTCAGATATAATAATTTTTTCTCAAAGCTGCTCGTGAAAGATTCGTATTACTGATTCCGACTTATTTGGAATTAAGGTGTAGTTGATTCATTGCTGTTCTTGAAAGGTACTTAAGCTTCCAGCTGAAATTTTCTAAACACTTTGCTGGTGATTTCTTTTATTAAAGTATTGACTTGAAGCAACGGTAATTTCATAGTCTTTCACACATCCTCTTTCATTTTGTTGGCACTATTGGCCACAAGTGAAATTCTCATTCTTGGCACGATGGCCAAAGTTTATATCTCATATTCACTTCTTTCACTTTCAAGCATCATCATAGATTATCAACAATAAGAACATTTGGAGTCAAGACTTTAAGTATATATATGAGCAATAAGAGTCTTAAGTACATTGAGTTTTTCTTTCACAATTAGGCATAATAACTAGCAATTGAACTTGATTTTTAAATCACAACACCTTTGATACATTGATCATACTTGACTACATTCCCAAAGGATATCATGCTATGATAGGAGCAACGGGAAAACATTTTGAGAATATAATTTCCGGCACAATACTTATTTGGAATAACTTAATATATTAGGAACAACTCGTAACATGGGATTTAAGAACCTGGGCACATACTTGAAACTTACGGGAACATCATGGAATTCGATTCTAAGAGAGAAGTTTAGCCAACATACCTCACTTTGAGCTTTCCTTAAATTACTACAATGTTCCGGAAACCCAAGCGACTTCAATCTATTAGAGAGACGACAAAATCGAACCATAATTAGGAAGAGGTTTATGGGTCCAGCTCATTTAAGCATTTCATCAAATACTATGTGTGCAAATTTAACTACAAGGTTCTTCTACAAGATCTCCTTCACCCTACAACCAATCCAACACCAGAGTTTACTCATATTATTTTGATGACCTCCCCACCATCCTTATTGGTATATGCATGCATAAATAACAACTCTCATACCCAAGAATCACACTTCCCATTACTCAACTTCTGCACAAACTCAAAATTGAAGACTAGATAGAACCTTACCTCTTAGATGAAGATCTTGTGAGTCCGTCCCTTGATTTCCCAAATCTTGAGCAAGAATTTGAAGGGTGGAGAGGCTAGTGCTTCATTCTTTCTCTAGCTCCCTTCCCCTCTCTCTAAAACACCATATTTTTTTCCTTCTAAACGAGCCTCAATGGCTTTTAATCAACATGGGATCGGGTTATAAAAACACAAAATAGACCTTCCGAACTTAACTCTACGGTCGCAGAGTGCATCGCGGATCAAATTTTCCGCCCGCAAAATGGACTGCAAAAACGGTCCCAAAAGTTGGGCTGGCCCGGTCAAGTCTGCGGCCGTTATGCGGCCCGCAGAACAGTTATGCGGTCGCATAACGCACCGCAAAATCTTCCTCCGAAATTTTTCATGCTGAATCTGCACGAATGTGCGGCCCGCGAAATGATTATGCAGTCGCATAGTGGACTGCATAATGACCTCCAAAAATTGGCTTTGGTCCTGTTGCATTTTGCGGCGGATCTGCGGTCCGCGGAGTGATTTTCCGGTCGCATAGTGGACCGCAGAAATGCCATGTTCTGCAAAAAATTTCCTCCAACTCCCCAACACATTGCACAACCCGGCGAAGATTTTCTACAATTTTCAAACACATTAGCCTACCTCGCCAACATGAAACCCTGAGTTCTTGGTCAAATTGTACGGGGTCTTACAAATTTAAAAAATATTCTAGCATGATATACTGGACTTCCAGTATAATATACTGGAGTTCCAGCATAATATACTGGACTTCCAGCATAACATACTGATCTAGCATAATATGCTGGAAGTTCATACACAAGTGCTCCAATCTCCAATATATTATACTGGAACTTTCCGTGTATTGGAGTTCCAGCATAATATGCTGGAAGTTCATACATAGGTGCACCAATCTCCAGTATATTATGCTGGAACTTTTCGTGTTGCAGCAAAATAGTGGTTAAGTTTTAATGACTTTGCAAACGCTGGCTATTTTTCAATTACCAGTCTATAAACTGATTAGCCCGTGCTATTTTCACTTTTATTGGACATGAAGAGCATCGACCCGTTATTGTTGGACTGGGAGAATATTTGTCATCTGGGCCGCATCACAAATGAGCCCAATACTTGTGTAATTTTTTTCTGTATAGTTAATAGATTGGTTAGTGGACGGGTCAATGGCTTAGGCCCTATGTATATATATCATTTTATACATATTTTGTAAATGATTTTAATTATGAGAGAATATATCAGATTTTAATCGAGAAGCTTCTCTCTTCTTCTTCTCTCTATTCTCTTTAACCCTAGCTAAGTCTTTCATGGCAATTTCATACATTTCGAAGTTTATCATGGTATTAGAGTGAGGATTCATGTAGATCTCGTACTCAGCTCTCGTCCGATTGTAGCCTCACACGATTTTGTGGATTTTCTCTCACTTTCATCTCAGCTGTGCTTCATCAGATTCATTGATTTTTTTGGTGTTTTTGCTGTTTGCTGTCATTTTGAAGCCCGTTCTTCTTCGGTAGCGAAGAAGTGTGGTAAATCTGAACCTGTTATCACTCATTGTCTGTTGCATTTGGTTTTCCTTGTCCTAGGGTTTTGCATGTGTAGCTCTTCGCATCAAATTGGTCTGATTCTGTTGTTTTCAATATGACTTTGGGAGATAGTACCAGCTCGTCTTCTACATACTCCCCAGACTCTTCGATTCCTCTATTCATACATTCATATGACATTTTTGGCACTTCTTTAGTGCCTATACCATTTTCTGGTACTGGGTTTGGGGGTTGGAAGAGAAAAATCATAGTTGCTTTGTCAGCAAAAATAAAATAGCATTTATAGATGGCACATGTCCCAGACCTTCTGATAATGCACCATAATTAAAATTTTGGAATAGATGTAATAATATGGTGATATCCTGGTTGACTACCCCTCTATCTCGTGAGATTGCTGAGAGCGTTCAATACTCTGAGTCTGTTGTATGTATTTGGGAGCAACTCGAAACCATATATGATACTGTTAATGGGAACAAAATATTTGATATTAAGAAAGAATTAGCTTCCACTTGTCAGGTATCTCTGGATATTGCATCCTATTTTAACAAATTGAAGAGGTTGTGGGATGAGTTGGCCTTCATGCGCAAGCATTCTGTAAATCCTTGTAACTGTCCCTTGCAAAGGGAATTAGAGGAGGACAAGTTATATCAATTCTTAATGGGACTTAATGAAATATATGTTAGTGTTAGGAGCAACCTTCTTATGAGACAACCACTTCCTTCTCTTGACATTGCTTATAACATATTGCTCCAAGATGAGAGTCAGAGGCATATTAGTTCTACTCCTCAATTTAATTCAGACTCAGCCTCATTCAATGCAACTGTCAACAATTATGCCAAGTTTCCTCTTCCTCTTCCAAAATAAAAGTATAATCAAAAGATAAATTTTGATCAAAGGGCGAATGTTGATCAGGGCAAAGTCCCCATATTTTGCAAATACTGTAAGAAGCCTGGGCATTTAATTGATAAGAGTTACAAGCTTCATGATTTTTTCCCAATTTCAAGTTCACAAAGGGGAGAAGAGTTGCAGCAAATGCTACTGCTGAGCCTGAGTTCACTGCTGTTGGGCATAATGCTGATGGTTCTTCTCATTCTGGTTCTTATGGTTCTTCTGAACAGAGTTCCACGATTCATGTGTTGTCCATGGAACAGTACAATCAATTGTTGACTCTGTTACAACAGTCTCATGTGTCAGATACTTCTCCTCAGTCTAATCTCATGGCTTCTGCCAATTTTGCTGGTACATTACTATCTGGTGATCTATTGAATGTTGCTAGTTCTAGTTCATGAATGCTTTCTCAAACAGTTAATCTGTCACGACCCAAATCTACGTGACCGGCACTCGGCACACTACCCGACCCGAGTGAACCAACCCATATGATGCACCCAAATCATATGCATGAAAACTAATTTAACTGCGGAAGCTCCTTGAAAATCATATACACTTTCAAGTTAAATGATAAAATATTTTCCAATTCAAAATCACACATAACACCTTTTATGATAATAACAACGAGACTAAGTAAAATAATTATATTTTCATGTATGTCGTGTACAACCCCGTTACTACAATCTTTCACAACTATCTATGGAGCCTCTATACCAAAGAATAGAATTAAGCACTTGGGACAATACCCGACTAGCATACATTAAGAAAAACAACATGATAGCTACCACGAAATAGGAGTGGTGCCTCACCATATACTTCAGGAAGAGAGTCATCCTAGTCACGACCGCATGCCACGTATCATACTCATCCTGAAACATGTAAAGTAAGCAGGGCCCTGGAGGGGGGCCCTAAGTTTTTCTTCCTGGGCTGCAGTAAGTAGATCGAGAGGTCGTTCCGCCCCTTGTCCCCGAATATGGGGAATATGTTCTCATAAAATCTTGCTCCAATCTGACCTAGCTGGCGAGCGATCCCAGTTCGCGACAGAGAACAAGACAGCAAGCGAGCGTACTTTTGTTCGCTTCTTCTCCACCAAGCACGGAAGTTTAAGGATAACTGTAGGTCGGTGGCTACCTAAGGAAACTCCGATTCGATCCGGGCTGAGTACACCACAGCGATACTCAATAAGTGTCATAGACTCTCTCTAACTTAAGTTCTTGGGACAAAATTTATAAAAATAATGCACCGATATTTGAAATAAAACGATAAGAAATTCTATCAATTCATGACCCTTGTCATTTTGAATAAAAGCCAAGTGAAATATAACCCTCAATATAAACTTTTAAAATATTTACACCAATCCAAGATTTTGGATAAAATCATACAAAATCATTTCATTTGCTTTAAGTCATTGAAATCACTTTCGGCTCCTTAGGCCTAAACATAAGAAAATCATCCTTACCTTTCACTGGGAGTACTATACCATCACCGACATAAGAAGGTCAACTAGGTTATGTACCTAGCGGCAAGTATCATATACCCTACTTGCTCAGGTGGTCTCATCGTTGCGAATCAACTCAGCCATGCTAATAATAGCACAAAATAACACTCTATCGAGGGAGAGCACTCTACCGTAGTCTATACCACAAAGTGGCCATCTACGCCTACACCGGCACGTGTAGTTTCATGATAACGAACACAGTATATCCGAAGTCAATCTCGGTGAACACAAGTAACTCCCAACACATTTAACACTTCAAAAATAGATTCATAGCATAGTAGCTTCAAAGAATCTATTCTTATCAACTCATAATATTTATAGAAAAATCTAAATCATTTGAACAAAAATTAAATAAATAACCTTTTACATGCTAAAGCCTTTAGCAATTTAACATCAATCTTTAAAAGATACCACAAATGTTATTCTGTTCGTCAATTTCCAAAAGAAATACTTTTCATGAAAACTTATCTTTAGCACTTAAATATGTATACTCTTGTCAATACGTAAGTTCTGATAAAAACTTATAACATTTACCTTGAGTGTCATTTTGCCAACAAGATTTAAAATAAAATATTATAAAACGGCATGACACTACATATGCAACATAATATTCTAGTATATGGAGACATCCGTACTTGTTTGTCCCCACAAGCACGAAAGCACATTTACAACAACTTAAGTATTAACTCGAAACATGCTTTTAGAGAAATCCCTCAAGAAGAGTAAGTTTTAATCAACTTACCTCGCTTTCGCTTTATAAACATTCACAAGATTTTAATCCTCCTCCATCATCCCAACATTGATTAAAATTATCAACATCTCCAGCATGTCGATATCTACAATTAAATATCCTAATTATATCAAAATATGATAAGATATTGATCAACATCCATATATGTCTCATAAGTTGGCTACAAGCTTCCAGCAACTCAAATCGCCAAATAGATTTACAAGTTAGACCATTCAACTTCATCTTATATTTTAATACCCATTCGAAGTCGTTAATGATACTACATCAATTGTCCATTGCCACCAAGTTACTATTCATCCTCTTCCATAATCAACACTTGTAAAATATACAATTCGGGTGATTACTTAGTTGATCACTTTCATCTTTTGCTAACAAATAATTCTATGGGTTCATTGTATTCATAAATTTCATCGCCAAGATTACCATTCATCTTCTCTCTTATTATCTCAAAAGTACTATTCATGCCATGAACTAGAGTTTTGTAATCCAATCTTTCAACCATTAAAACTTGCAACAAATGCTTATACTTCTAACTATTCATAATAAACGAGTTTGAAGCATTGAAATTACCTCTAGTAGCTCAATCTTGAAAAATTACAACTTTGGTAATATTAGTGTTCTTGAGGATTTGATGATGAAATCTAGCATTTGGATGCAAGAATGATGTTAGAACTTGTCACGACCCAAAACCAACCCGGTCGTGATGGCGCCTATCATGGAACTAGGCCAGCTGACACATATCCCAAAATAATTCGATATTTCACTAAAATATAGATAATAACCTTTTTCATACTGAAATTTCGTAAAAGAGATAAATTCAAAAGCCAAAATACGGAAATAAAAGCCCGATCTCGGGTGTTACTAAGTCATGAGCAAATACTACAACTGTTCTGAAATATAACAAGACTAAAATAATCTGAAAATAGCCAAATTATGCTAAAAGGAAGATAAAGAAGGAGAAAGGCGGGACTGCTATCTCCAGGCAGCTACCTCGCTATCTCCGATGAAAGTCCACGACTGGAATAGTCAACAGCCGCTGTCGTGCCATGAAATACCTGGATCTGCACACAAGGTGCAGGGGGTAACGTGAGTATACCAACTCAGTAAGTAACAAGTCCAAACTATGGACTGATAGGTAGTGACGAACCAAACCTCAACAGGAAATAGAAATAAACTGTGCAGAAAGAGTATGCATGCTAACAGTTCAAGAACACAACTCAAGCAGTAAAATAAACACATATCTGAACAATGTGATATAAAGCTCAGCTAACTCTACATGCCCATGCACAGAATGTATGAAATACACCATGTGCTCCCACTCTCAAGTGCTCAACTACTTGGTACTGCATATGGCCATCCGACCCAGGGAAATCCATCCCGAAACATATACAACACTGACTGCAAGTCAACTAGTACCGAGGAACAAGGGCAATCCAACTCTGAGGAGAAATCCATCTCCAGGTATACCGCATATGGCCATCCATCCCAGGGAAATCCATCTCGGAACATACTCATCGCTGACTATAAGTCACTCGGTATCGAGGCAAAGGGTAATCCAACCCTGGGGAGAAATCCATCTCCAGATATCAATACTTCGGACAAATCCATGTCCAGGGACATCCATCTCTCAAATATCATCCGCGCTCACTAGTGGTGTGTTACAGACTCTGGAGGGGCTCCTACAGCCCAAGTGCTATCATAATCATCAACATAACCACTGCGGCGTGCAACCCGCTCCCATAATTGTCACATAATCAGGCTCTCAGCCTCACTCAGTCATCACTATCCATTCTCACACACACGGGCTCACAATGCCATGAAACTAGCCCGAAACAATGCTATGATGTGCCAAGTAATAACCACTGAGACTGAGACATGATATGATATGCATGAATAAGGCTGTGTACAGAATGTCAATGAATCAAATGAAATGACAGAAAGAAACGACCACTCGGGTCTCAACAATCGGCGTGAAGCCCTCTCATGATATCTAGCATGTTTTACAACACATTTACTTAATCACATGATAGAAACACGGATATCAACAAGAAAGAGTCATTAAGCAGTGCCATGGAATGAACCAGGCCACAATTCTCACGGTGCATGCCCGCACGCCCGTCACTTGGCATTTGCGTCACCACAATACTAATCACATAACACATAGTTCGGGGTTCCGAACCCTCAGAACCAACTTTGGAAGCATTACTTACCTCAAACCAAGCCAAATCCTATTCCGCTACTCCCTTGCCTCTGAAACTTGGCCTCCAAACATGCTGAATCTAACCAAAAGCAATACAATGCAATGAATATAGGCCAAGGAATTAATTCCACACGAAAAACTATCAATTAAGACCAAAATCCCGAAATTCACCCAAACCCGGCCCCCGGACTCACGTCTCGGATTCCGACAAAAATCACAAAACTAGAAACTCCTTTCTCTCCCGAGTCTATACATACCAAATTCATCAAAATCCGACATCAAATGATCCCTCAAATCCCCAAATTTAACTCTCCAATTTCCAAGCTCTAACCCCTGAATTTCATCACTAATTTCTACCAATTTCATGCTTAAACAACTGAAATTTACCATAATCACAAGTATTAAGCTCAAATAACTTACCTCAATGAGTATTCCCTTGATTCCCTCTTCAAAACCCTCCAAAAGCTCCAATCCCGTCTTCAAAAATGGAGGAAATGGGCAAATATTCGCGAAGGGTCCAATTTATACCTTCTGCCCAGGCATTTCTGCACCTGCGTCCCTTTTCTCGCACCTGCGCAACCGCTTCTGCGGTCCAAACAACCGCACCTGCGGTTTTCACTTAAAAATCCAAGACCGCATCTGCGTCCCAGGCACCGCACCTGCGGGCCCGCAGATGCGTCAAACTCACCGCATCTGCGGTTCTTCTCTTGGCCCTCAAATTCCGCATCTGCAGCTTCCCCACCGCATCTGCGACCTCGAACCTGCGGTCCCCAATCCGTAGGTGCAGAAACTTCAGAAGCAGCAGCTTCAGCTGCACAATCTCATTTCCAAATCCTCCGTTAACCATCCAAATTCATCCCGAGGAGCTCGGGACCTCAACCAAAAATACCAACAAGTCACATATCAACATTCAAACTTAGTCAAACCTTTGAAATACTCAAAACAACATCAA